AAATACAGGTAATGAGCGTTGAGCTGGCAGCTTTTAAGCCTGAGCCAGGTTAAAAATGAGATCCCCCTCGGCTTCACATCCCTTTGCTCATTCCACAGGTCTCTCATGTTGCTGTTAAAACCTGTCTCCTAGGCCCATCCATCCGATAACAAAAGCAGTAATGACTGTGTGGTAGGGAAGACAGAGCAAGCCAGCGCTGGAGAGAGACGTTGAAGGACATGTAATGAAGCCCTTCACCTGCTCGAAGGCAAACATATCCCCAACTTCCCACCTCGGCATGCTGAATGACCTTCTCACAGGTGATCTATTCTCCTTCCTGTTGTTCTTCTTCTTGTTATTCCTCTTGTGCTTCCCCATCGGGAGAGGCATGGCCGGAGTCTATACATTGATTAGCGATGGGAATTTAAAGACCAAAGGAACAAGGTGAGTCAAGAGATAGGCATGGCTTACATAACTCATCATCGATACGTTCCTGGCCTGCCTCAGTACTGTCATACAGGCTCACGTAGTATGCTGAAGGAGATGTCAGATAAGCTTCCACGTCCACGTAATCTTCATCGTCAGGTGTAAGGCACATTCCAAGCCAATGCTGCATCATGGGGCTGGCAGCAGGTCTCCTCCTCCTAAGCGACTGATTATCTTCCGCTTGTCCCAAATGAGAAGGACGTTCGACGACGACATCTTCGGAATTGCCAGCGACTGAGTTGGGAGGGACGGGGGTTTCGAAGAAAAAGTCGGGTACTAGGATACTGTCTGGCGACAAAGTCTCCTCCCTACGGTCGAACCAAATTCTCTTCCATATGCCTCGACTAAGTATGAGGCGTGAGTTGGTCATGTTGAACCATCCCTTGTCGCGTTCATCAGCGACTGTTGGGCGACACGGTATGTCGACGTTAGCGAAGTTCTCCTTGATATGTGTGACAGCTACCGTATGTTTAGGGGAGAGAATTGAAAATCGAACGTGGAAAACGTAGCAAGTCCTTCTTGGTGGGTATCTTTTGGTATTTGGGCACGGTTGGACGAAGGAATGATCAAGACAGTTCAAGTTTAGGAAGACTCACCCATGCCAGTCGCGTCCTGTTTGGCCTTCGTGCCATCATCGTCAAGAATTCTGAACGTGTTACCACTCCGTTGGAAAGCCGCTATTCTGTCTTCGCCGTAACTGAAAACGGCCCTCAAGAAGTGGGTTTTGCCCACCTACCCGTTGAGGTCATCCACGAGGCCGAATAATCCCGTCATGTTGCAAGGCCACCAAACCATTACTCCCGTCCACCCGCTTCGCGCGGGCGGGTCGTTTTCTTCCAGAGGCACTGTTGCGATGAGTCCTTGGATTTCCTTCGAGATGCCTGTAGCAACCACATTGTTTCCGCTGAGAGGACCGCATACGAGATGGAGCCCACAGCGCAAGTTTGAAAGGTGCTTTGTCGGAAACAATAGGGTAACGACCACCGTTGGGCCTACTCTAGATTTTTTTTTTGCCACGGTGGCATCCTCTTCTGTGGGTAACACATGAATCGGCATGTAGATCCAACCTTCGCTGGATCGAAGAGATTTTCTGGGAAGTTTGCATTGTACCAGCCAATTCCACGCAACTCCCATCTGCTTTGCGCTTTGTCAAACGCCGTAGCTGGAGTTCTTAAAGCTGATGCCATAATTGCTAGCTTAAATTAGTTGATGTCCTTTGGCTCCTGTAAGACGAGTAATGGCTTACCAGATTTCTGTAGTCGACTAGATGATGATTTTCGAATGTAGTGGGGTATGGAAGAAGAGTGTACTGTGTGTACCCTCATGAGCATCCATCTCGAACAGTCGGGACCGGACGGCTCTTATACATTTCCTTTTCTCTCACCAGGAGCGTCAACGACCAACAGCAGTACCTAGCTTTCGCACTTCGATGAGAAACGCTGACAACTTGCTCGTCATAGGAAAAGGGTATCCCATCCCCCCAACGAGCCGTCCAACATTTGAAGCGCCGAATAAGTCGTAAAGCCAACAGTGAAGCCATGATGAAAGGATAACCAGGCGATGCCGTGATGAGGATATAGCAGCTACGCGCCCGTTGGTATATCGTTATCTCACAAGTGTAAGAACTAGGCGTACCAACCGACCTCAGTCAAGTTGACCTGCCATGGCAATGGTATCACTAAATACCTCATCATGTGGCCGCGAACACGAATTAACGTGGACCAACGCAGGAACGGATGGAAATAACAACAATGAGGCAAAAAAAAAGACATCAGAGACCGATATTAACGCGATGGAAGATGCTGTTGCGCTGCCATAGAATATCAAAAGAGGTGGTCGATGTGCGAACGCTGGGGCAACAAGCCAGGACTGCCGATCAAAACAGGAATGCAGTCTGAGAGGAAGAAATCCGGAGCGCGCCTTATGAAGAAAGGATGTCCAGATGATTTCGTCCACAAACAAGGAATGAGAGCAAACTGGGAGCCTGCGAGTGAGTACCAAAGCCATTTTCTGTGTACATGTAGGGACGGGCTGCACTCACACTGTATTTTTCCACTTTCCTTCCCATCCCCCAACCCGAGCGGCAGCCACCAACATCCCACGTAACTAACCACCCGCTTTCACAGTATCGAAATTACCAACAGTCCCCCGTTCTTTGATCGTAATTTTGAAGAGTCTTCCTTCATTTGTGTCCTGCGGCAAGTTAGAAGATCTTGTCGGAAACGAAGCGTGGTGGTCTCCCATCGGACTCACTTGTCATTCGGCTCCGCTGAAAACCCTCCATCTCAAAGTCGTATCGCCAACGACCTCGAGCACAAGGAACCGAGCAATCTACTCGCCATCAGGGACACTCGTCTCACTCAGAACCTGGTCCACATTATTTCCAACCCCGCTCCTTTCACGCTCCTCCTCCTCACACCTCCAATACTCATGCAGCTCAGGACGCATCCTCGCAAGCGTAATAGTCGTCTTGAAAATACCCGGATCTACCCTTGGGTGCGGAATCAGCCAGACGTTCTCCACCCCAACGAGCTTGTCAAGCTCTTCGTAGTGATAACCCCGGTTTTCCACATCGCCTATGCGGCAATCTATATAGAGCTCTCTCACATTGGGGAACGAGTCCAATAGAAACGTCGACTCGAAGTACTCGAACCTGATGGTGCGGATGTTAATCTGGAGCCGCTGGATCTTATCGCCATCCCAGTCTTTGTAAAGTCCAGAATCCGGTGTTTCGGATGTTGATCGTGTCCATGTCGAAGTTGACCCAGATATAACGCCGTTCGCGCTCCTCTTGTGCGTTGATATTCGATAACTTCGTAGCCGCGCCGCCGCGCTTCTTCGACTTCTTCCGATAACGCCAAGCGCGAAACTTTGGAGTGTCATGAAGTTCTTTCAGGATGATGGTGGGTGTGATATTGAAGGCCTGCTCATAGATTTCTTGTCGTTGGAAATGGTTCCGGGCTTCCTGACACACATGTGGCACTGCTGGCACTGGCGTGCCGTGTTTATATATCCTCGGGCCCCACAGCTCAAACTTGGGATAGTGCTTATATACTTCGGGGTTATGGAGGTTGGAGGCAACGATAACGAACACATTGCGAGACTCGACAGCCATTTCCCAAATCTGAGCGGGGAGTTCCCACGGAAGCCGGGGGAACGAGTGAAAAGTGGCCATTTTCCAGGCGATATCTGAATTGTCCTCTCCGTGAGTGACAGGGTATGTGATCTGAGATGTTATTAGTGGTGATCTCCCATGTGTTTTGGAGATAGACGGACCTCATTCAATGCTCCGATGTTGGTGAATATTCTCATCCTAAACGTTTCGAAGGGATTTGTTTGAGTTCTTATCTGACTCTTAAGTACTTCCGCATGTCATACAACCTGAGTGATGAAACTATCAACTGGTGGGGGGCCTTACAGCTACTAGCCGGAGGCCTTATATCGTGTTTGCATGTTACAAACCAATGGGTACAGCCGCACAAGAATCTCGCAAGCTCATATGAAGCTCATCATGGGTTCCCGATGTCAAGAGAAGTGGTAAATCCAAGAGGTTGTAGATGTATTTAAAGCCACTTGGGATAAGTCAAGCAGAAGCGGTCGTGCATGGATGCAAATACCATTCAGAAACCAAAAAAAAGATCGAATACGATGATGTCGCATGATCATTGCGCCATGAGAACTTAGATGCATACAATCTAACGCCGGGGCAAATGAACAAAAAAGCCCAAGGTCTACCACGGTGAAATGCAATAAGAAAAACGAAACACGCAAACACGACCAGCTCTCTTTTCCGTAAGGGTGAACAAGGTACAAAACTTGCATTGGGAAAGCCAACCATCATTGCTAAATCCAGCCTGTGGTCTTCGAGAAATGAAAGACGTCCAGACCTAGGAGTGAGCCGTGTTGAAACGCTACGCAGTACCTGTCGATACCAAGGCCAGGGTCGCTTGATACATCTGGCTTTTGTCCAACGGGGTTTGCAAAATGCCGGGGTTGATGTTTGCGATGATGTACCATGAGAAACTGGAAACGTGTTACCAATGGTAGCTGACACTGGCGGACATATGGGGGAGTGTCTGGGTCACTAACCTCCCAACGGTAACCACCGAGGATGTGCAAAATAGCTAGCGGAGGATCAGATATTCCTGCATTCAGTGAATCTCGAGGTGTAGGTCAAAGTGCTTGGCGCCGATATCAAAACATCGGCTGTCCGCTGGCCAGACGTACAAAGCTGTAAGGAACATTCTGGCCAACGAGGAGACGAAGTGTTTCCACAGTAGTAAAAGCCATGACGTCCTCGGCACCATAAGCAGCAAAGCCGCATTGCTCTGCAATCAGCCTGGGATCACCTTTCCGGGGAAACGATCCATCAGCAAGGTCAAGAAACACCTTGCGAGACGTCGATGAGCCCCGAGAACCAAAGACGCGGACCAGCATGCCGACAAGATTACTCTTCTCTGGAGCTAACGCACTCACGACGACGAAAGGTGAGGCGTCATTATTTGTGCTATCAGCACCATTCGTACGGGCCTTTTGCATACTCTCGAGACTGTTGAAGGGTTCCAGGTTGAAATCCCTGGCAACAGCTGGCGATGCTTTAAAGCCGACTGTGTAGATCTTGCTCACCATCAGAGCTTTAAGAGCGAGGAGGGAGCTGGCAGCATCATCGGGATTTGAAGCAAGGACCACGGCGGCACGTCCAGAAAAAGCCGAAGGAGCAAAGTCGCGAGTGAGTGTACTTAATATTCCTTTCCAAGCGGCATTTTCGAAGACCATAACGGTGGTGGGTGACAGGCCTGATTGCGACGAGGCAATGGAACCTAGTGAGTCGCTGTTTTGGTGACGTCCTGGACTGGACGGTGCTGAGGATGGTGCCGAGGAAGCTGAAAACGAGGTTTTGGTTTGAACCACGATAGTATCCACCATGCCGATAAGCCTTACTGAATCGCTGAGAATCGGCCCCGCGCCATTATTGATGGATGCAAAGAAGGCACTGTTTGAAATCAAGTGCTGAAAAGGAACAGCCGGGTAGAGGTAAGCACCTCCGAAGTTCTTCTGGTTGCACCATGCTTCCACTGAGGTGAAGTCTTTGAGAGGTCTCTCAACCACAGAGAAGTGATGGGGCAGGCCTAGCTCGTTGAAACATTTCCCGTAGAAAGGAGCCTGAGGGGTCGATATGCGGCTGGAAGGGGTGTTAATTCCGTAAATGTTCTTTCTCGGCAGTTGTCCAAGTAAGGACAAAGCCTGATTGATCTCAGCAGCACTCAACTGACCGGGAGCGGCGATAATCGGTAACAGAGGATGAGTGATGGGTGTGAAGACCCGGTTCAATGTCCGAGAAAACTGTCCTGTTTCGCCCATGTTGACAGCAGAAAGTGGCGGCGCATCGGGGTATTCGGCCTTGATCTTAGAACGGAAGTACTCCAGTTCAAAGTTCTCATTGTGGTCGTTGATAATGGCGATCATTTTGACGATATCCGCAAACCGTGCTGATTCCCGGAACGTTGCTTCTGCCCTTGCCGATGGCCACTTGAAAGTTCCGGAGAAGTCGTGAAATGCGGACATGATGCGACTGCTGCCACGCTGCTCATAAAGCTTCCTCCTGATCCTCTCCGGAAGCCATATTTCGACGTCGATGTATTCCACTCCCCACTGGATTGCTCTGTAAAGGTACTCGTAGTATAGATCAGGATTGTCCATTGGAAACCGCCCATTTTCGGCCGTACATCTGGTGGTGAAGATGATTGGCAACTCGGTCCTCTGGCGAAGCAACATCACCTGTTCGCCGACATAACTGAGACTGGGAACCGGAGCATAGGTTCCATCACCGAGTGGCTCTTTCAGAAGATCAACCCTAATCTCAACGGCATCCGCACCCACGGTTAGGATATCGATATTCGGAAGGGCAGCGTGTACGTCGGGGAATGTTGTCGAAATGAAGTACGTCCGTGGTTTGGCCATGAGGATTTCGTGGTGGTTCAACTGCCCAAGTGTATGAGAAATGAAACGTGACAGGTCCCGTCTGAAAAAGGGTTCCTCCGTGTAGAGGAATTCGTAGTCACACTGAGCGGATAGATACGCGTCTGGGGGCATGCCCATGTTGGTACAATGGACGTTGATGGCGACGATCGAGGTTCTGTCCCGACCTGCGATATCGGTTTTCGCCTGTGTCGCGGGGATGCCCACCACAAAATCCCGATCATCTGAAGAGACGTCTCTGAACCCATTCCTTACTCGGTAAGATTTCCCCAAGACTTCGGCAAATACAGCCACAATTTTCTCCTGGCCCTGGCCAAATACGATCACCGCTGTTCTCGTATCTCCCTTGCGAGGCCCCCTCAGAAGCGGGAGGTCGCCAACCGCCGGTGAAGTCGTCCTTCCCATGACCAGGTCGATTGCTCGATGAGCTGTAATGGTGCTTGGCACTGGCGCCGATATGTGTGCCGTTGCTGGCTCCAGCTGCTGTATGCTGACCATTTTGTCGATTTGAGTCGGAATCCACCAAGCTTGCGAAATGAACGTGATGTCTCGCTTGAAATGCCCAAAGAAGTCGTCTGATGGGATGTCCAAGTAGGCGTTCGTTGAGCCTATGGCTCTTGCTTAAGCACACCCAACCACCTAAAACCAGAATCCCACTCAGGAAACCTAGTGCGCATGGCCTTCACAAAAGTTGGTTTGAAAGGAATGTTCTATTGCCCACGCGGTCCTTCGTCATCAAAAATTAGTTGTTGACGGCAAGAGCTCTTTTGGTCATCCAAAGACGGAATTCGCGTTGAGGGCCTGTGTTGATGAGGTGAGGAAAAGACCGGCTATATCGGAAGTTGATGTCAGGCTGCGTTGATTCTCAGGTCCTCGATATCTGGTTCGAACGTGCTTCCAAGCCTTGACGAGTGATATGCAAGTAGGGCGATGAGAGGAGTTTCCAGACGAACGGAAAGGTGATGAGAAGACTTGGCACAAATCCGGATTAGGGGTTGCTGTTCTAAATCGATGTTCCTGATGTATGGGATGAAGGCTAATGGAAGGTTCCAAGTATCGGTTGTGGTGTCTTTAGCGAGGGCCAAGCAAGCGGTGGAAGCCAAAACAGCCGCGAGTGGTGCAGCTGAGGTAGGTCAAGGTAACACCCGTTAAGACGGGAAAAAAGGACGATGCCACGAGCAAAGTCAGTGAGTCGGGGAAGGTATATGAAGCGCACCAGTGAGGCTCCGGATTGTTGTGGTCTTTGGTCTTGTCAACTTGTCTCATCAGCAGCCCCGGGGATGTTGGCCTCGAACTCGGTAGCAGTGCCAAGCAAGGTCAGAACGAAATATTCCGCCGAGTTCTTGTGTGGTTTTGCCGTCTGAGAGGACCCCCCTTCCACAGTCCGAACTTGTTGGATCAGCCGTCAAACCCAGCCAGGGCCGTGCAATAAGCATCCACGGATTTGTCGACGGATTACCGATGAAGCGCGTGCTAGCCAGGTAGACCAGGGTTGGCCCCGGGGGGAAGCGCGTGGGACTGGGGGGTGACTGTGAGGGAGAGACGCTGTTGTAGCGGCTGCCTTGTACCTCTCTGTCTCTTGACTGGAGGGAAAACGTTGGAGTAAGGTGAGGTACTTGGTGCCAGTTGGAGATAGAGGAGGAGGCGGCTGGTTGCGAGATGTTCCACCACCCTTGACTCCAGGACTGTCAAAAGTCGGATGCTGTCACGGATTTCGACGAGACCAGGAGTGAAGACAGTGGTTTCTTTGGTCGTGGAACATGATAAGGAGGAGTGAATTCCCAATTAAGCTGAAAATGTAAGACGAGAAGACAGACAGAGATTTCAGTGCCAAACACGACTTCAAGTCTGTGAAGATGGCCGTTGACCCACTGGAGTCGTCGCCGGCGTCGATGCTAGAATCCGGGGCAGGAGCAGTCCTGGGGAAAAAGAGACAGGGGGGGGCCGATTTTGGGGAAGGCGCAACAAGGGGTCCCCGCAGTGACTCCGCATTCTGGTCCTAATTTCCCGTGTAAAAATCCTCCAATAGAAATCGTTCTTTCCTCTTTCAATGTACTTCCCCGATTGACAGTATTGGTTCACTCTTTTTGACAGTGACACTTTCCCTGGTTGTCCTTCCCAGGCGTGTTCCTTCTACATGTAGTTGCCGTTTCGCATTCGCTTTGTTAGAACGGACTCTTTGAGTTTCGAATCGTGGGAGCTGTTTGGCAGGCGCGGGCACCTTGAGGACTGAGTGCAGACTGCAGACAAATGGAAGGTCAGGCCCGTAGTGGAAGTTGGGAATCGCCTTCCATTTCTCACCCCACGCAAAAAAATGGGTGGCTTGAGGTTGATGTAACCACTCAAGTATCAGGGGTCAGTGCTATCACATTGGCCTGTCAAAACCGTCGGCCAAATGGCACACTCGTTCTTCGGATCCAACGTTCCAATGTTCCAATATTCGGAACACCCGTATCAAACACAACTGCCTTCCCTACATGCCTAAAACCCAAAGCCGCTTTCAGCCTGAATTCCATGGCGACGTCAAAGAGAACTCGTTGTTTTGTGTACCGGATATCTACCCGGTTCTGCCTCATTTTGAACTGCAACATGAGATCTCTATCAACGACTTGTTTGGTTCCACAACCTTCGATTGCATATGAGTAACGAGGGAAGGCATGAAGAGCTGTCCTTATGTTCATAGAAACATGAGTTTTGGATATGATTCAAGGCCATACCTTGGGATCCGCCGAAGGGTCGACCGGGTAGCATCCTACACTTGTGTTGATATGTGTTCTTTCAGAGAAGGCCGGAAACTCAACTTCCTTCCAACTACCCCCAAGCCCACAGTGAGAGTAGGCAACAATAGACCCGAGCCATGCAACCTCTCACCGAACTGTCACATGCTATCGGCCCGTTCCGGTGAGGTGGAGTAGATGACGGCGTCTTGGGCGTCCCTTCAAAGCACATCCCACCGGTACGCAACCGCCCACTTGCCCTTATCACCTTGATCGTCTTCTTCTTCTTCGCCCAAGTCAATATCCCAAGCAGGCGGTGCGATCGCTACCATAGCGCCGGGTACCAGCGGCTTTCTGTCCGTCCCATTCGCATCTTCCTCCTCTCCTTCCGGCTTGCTCTCAACACCAGCACCACTTCCGCTAAGCCCCTCCATCCTCCCATCACCAGCTAACAATGCCCTAAAACTCTTGGATACTTTCGTTCCATCAGGACCACCAATCATCGGCCGGCCAGTTACCAGAGTCATACTGATCCCAGATCCACACTTGTTTATCGTTTCGACCGCGAGATGGGCAGTTGCTGCCACCGGGGTTGGTTCGGTTCCAGAACCGCCCTTCACTTCCAGTAACCAATCTCGCAGCTCAGATGCCAGTCCTCCGGGAACGTATCGAGCGCCGCGTCGACGCTGGGGCGAGAATATGTCGGGAAGAAGGGTGTGGTGAACAGGGAGGCCTGCCGGAGGATCAGGAGGTCCAGGTGATTTGGGTTTGAAGCGAGGTGCTCTGAGAAAGGGGTTGTGGGGCTTCATGGATGCTGACCTTGACTTTTGACCTCTGCGTTCGGGGTCGTGATCTTCTGCATCTGTGTCTGGTTCCGCTTCGGGGGCCGATCCTGGATCTGGCCTTGGAGTGTGGCCCTCATTACTTTCGTCGAGTCGCTCTGATTTTCGGTTCCTGTCCTGATTCTCTTCCTTGTATTCCTCCTCGTCTTCGCTCTTTGGGTTCTCCTCAGACTCACTGTGGTACTCATGTGAACGAATGACATGAGGCGGTAGTGAAGAGAGAGGTTCGCTTGAGTGACTGCCAGCAACGCTCTCGTCGTCCTTTCCGAGGTCGCTATCAGTGACAGCAAGTGGACTTGAGATGATCACATCACCGCCAGTATCCAATCCCCTCGACGGCGAAGAGCCCTCATCAACCATGGACTCTGCATCATCAATGAGTTCGTCCACTTCATCACCTTCGCATTCACCCTCGTCGGGAAGTGGTGGACTACTAGCCTCCACATCTTCAATATCGAGGTCGATAACCGGTGAAAGACGACGTCGCTTGTGTGACCGTTCCTGGTCCAACTCATCCACATCTTCCTCCTTGACCTTGATCGGCGACTGTGAAACGAACGAAGAGTCGAACTCAATCGGCTCGGGATACTCTGGCGCCTGCCCTGGCCGTGTCACCGAGCCGGGAAAGCGGGCAAAGGGTGAACTTTCTCCATCTCCAGGTAGCAGATCGTCATCGATGAACTCCAGCGTAGGTCGATTCCGTCTCTCGGGAACATTGGTCCGACTTTTGACGGAGCTTGCTATGGCAGATGGTGTAGAGTACAAGCCCGTAGAGGTCCGGTATGACGGCCTTGGCGTCGATGAAGCACCGGCTTGAAAACGCGGAGTCGAGTGAAACTTCGGCGCTCCGCTTGCTGCAATTTGTTGTGCCAGGTCTTGGTCTGATGTTTCTTGGTTTTGTAGGATGCGCTGAGAGGATGCATTGGCTTGAGATTGCTTCTTGCCGAGGAGGAAGCGAGAGGGCGCAGGCGTCTTTGGAGGACGGTCCATGACAATGTCAACTAATTCGTGACCTCTTGCCGGGCTGCACTGGGCGAGAGGCGTCACTCACGGCAGGCGGAGGGAACATCGTTTGAAAAAGCTGCATAAAAGAGCATCACGAATTGCATGAGAATGAGTGAAAATCTGCTTTCAACAAGAAATCATGCCGAACACAGCCCACAGCCTCAATGGATGTGAAATGGGGAAAGTGTCTTGCAGATTGTCAAATGCAGCAAGTAAGTGCATAACCCTAACCCTATTGGTCTGGGAACCCATGGAAATGCATGGGTGCGCGAGCTCAACATCCTGGAGAGCCACTTTGCGCGCCAATGATTGATCATCATCCACAGCTCGTCGCGTACCTCCCGAATTTACGAACGGAAGACGTGACCTTCACATTTCAGGAAATGTCCAGTACATCGAAGCATGCGATTACTGCGCTTGACAACCTGATGTCATGATCTCAAATCCGTTAAAGCAACGTAAACATTATTTCAAAGCCTGAGCTTTACCTCTATCTATAAATCCATTCATCCAACTACAAACGGCGAAGTCTTCCTTCATCTCGACCCGCATTACGGACCTCTTTGGCTCTGCTGCCTACACACTTACAAGCGATAACCCGGAACGAAAAAAAGAACTTCGTCTCCTCTATTAGTCACCAACTCAACCTACACTCCAAAGCTACTCGAAAAGCCTCTTAATTCCACCGGATTATTGCACTCTTCTTTCAAGCCGGAGCCCCCTCCTCCTCCGGTGACGCCGCTCCCGTCGTCATAATGTCTACCTCAACACCAGTGTTCTCCTTTGGCCAGGTCCAAGACCCCTCCTCAAGCGACAATCACAATCACAACCACAGCCACAACCACAACAACAATACAACAACGCCTTCGACATTCCCCTCTTTCACCAACTCCTTCTCCTCGCCCTACGAACCCCAATACCGACCAAAAATCAGCTCCCCGCTCTCTTCCTCACCCATCCGACCGTTCGATCCAATAACAATGTCCCGATCGTCACCACCACGTTCGCCAACCTCGAAACCTCGAGGAATCTTTGGAGGACAGACGCAATCCTCACCGATCTTTGGGTCTTTATTACAAAACCAAGGGGAAGCTTCAAATCAAAATGGACAGGCCGTGGCAGATGGACAACAGGGACAGGGACGAGAACAGAACAAGTTTCTAAAATACAACTCCCGCCCTTCTCGACCAATGAACCACCCCTCGTTCTCCTCCAATCGCAAAGAAGACCGCCGGCGATTTTTTTTGCAGAATGTACGGCAACGAGCGGATGATAAAGCGTGGGAGAGGAGGGGTGGGGAGAATGAGGTATGTTCGTTTGTTCTTTACTCTTCCCTTTACTTATCATTTTCACCTTTCCATCCTGTCATTTTCCACCTTCCACTCTTCTCTCTGAACCCCCAGGCCCTAAAGCTTCCCCATAATCCACTGCTAACATCTTATCCAAACAGCTCCTAAAACTAGAATGGCTCCGCTTCAACCGCGAACTGCGCCTAGCAAAAGAAGCTTCGGCGCCTCCCAACCCCTTCTCCCCCAATGGCGTCCAGTCTCACACCGACTCTTTCGAGGAAGAAATGGAAGAGCTCGCGCAGCTCCGAGCAAAGTTCAATCACCAGCAACAATTCCTCGAAGGATTGCTGGAAGACCAACCGCCGGGGCAAGATATGGATGCGTACATGGCGGAGATGATCGCAAGAGAGGAGGAGGCGGAGTTGGAGGCGTTGTTGGCGCTTAATCAGCAGGCGCAGGAGGATTTAAGAGTACGTGGAGGACAGGAGGGACAAGGGCAGCTACAACATCAGGGGCAGCAGCAACAGGGTGATTTGATGGCGGATGAGGATGATGATGAGTATGATGAGCTGTTTATGGAGGTTTTGGCGCAGCAGCAGGGGCAGCTGGGGCAGCAGCACCAACAACAACAGGCAAGTGGTAGTGATTTGGGGATACAACATCATCACCACAGTCAGGACGACGTGGAGATGGGAGGGTGAACATCGTCGGGGAGGCTGATAATATTTCATGCGCTTGGTACATATGGTCGTACACACCTTGGCTTCAAGGGTTGCATTTGCATAGGACATGGAGTTCCGGATACACATATCAAGCGGTGGTTAGGTTTTGAGACACAAAAGGAATTAGGTAAATAGTCATGTTTGGGCTAGAGAGGTATACAAAACGGTTATATGGGCTGTTTCGCTCTTGTGTGAAGGATCACTAGAGTTAATGATCTTATTAAGTACTCTATATCATCACAATCTAGCAGCGCTCTGAGGGGCAACAAATTTGTAGGCAAATGTTAGAAAATTGCCCAACGTTTTTGACGGCGTATGACATTTTCATACCAAACCTGCTTCTTCTCGTTCTTGTTGGGACAATTATTGAGTGGGGCATTGATCGTCGGGAAGGTCGAGATTTTGGGCGGAGGGCATGTCTCCGACCAAGTCGTTGGGGGGCTGGCCGGCATCTTGCATCTATACACACAACGGGTGTCAGTTGACATCATGAAGGGATTCCGAGTTCTTGGGGGGCAACGTACCTTCTGCATCCTGTCAACGATATACTCGTGATGCTCCTTGCTCGTATCCGCGTAGTTGGGCTCCTCAAACTTGGCCACAATCTCGCTGACCAGCTTCTGCTGCAACTCGTACCGCTCCAGGTCCTCCTTGGACGTCGCCGCCCTGTTCTTCTCCAGCCAGCCAGGGAACTTCTCGTGTAGTTCCTTCATAGGTTCGTACAGGATATCCTTGTGCGTGAGCTGCTCCATCATGCCCATAAGCATCTTGCTGAACTCTTCCTCGCTGCCCTCGCCTTCAAGACCGCCGGATTGCATCTGCTTGAGCAGCTCGGCGAGGAAGTCATCAGAGCCCTCAGCTGCGGCAGCTGCCGTGGCCTGCTCGCCAGATGTCTGCATGCGCTCCATGGTCCGTCGGATGGTCTCCTGGAAGGAAGCTTCCGCCGCATTCTTGCTTGATGGTGAGGCCGCAGTCGAGGCTCTGCGGGAAGAAGAGGGAGGAGTCTTGGTCAAGGTCTCGGCCTTGGGGGTGGGAATACCAGGTGTCTCGGCATCCGAGGCGGCGGCGGCGGCGCCTAGCTCCTTGAATATGCTCTCGAATTGGGCTTGTAGTTCAGGCTGGCTAAGAGTTAGCTGTAGTCGCAAAGATGGATTCGCGATTGTTGTCGCATACCGAGTTATCCATGTCGCCGAGAAGATCAGCCATGCCGGCCTGTAGCTGCTTCGCGAACTCCTCTTCGGACAGAACATCATCCTCGCCCGTGGCATCATCACCCGCTCCGGCGGGGGCTGGCCCAGCCGGTCCCGAGGGCTTCTTGGCTTGGAGGTCTACCGCCGCAAACTCATCAAGCATATCATCCAGATCATCCAAGTCATCCTCATCCGGATCAGATACGTCGTCGTCGAACTCATCAATCACGGTGGTCTTCTTGGGTACCTCCTCCTTTGCGCCGCCGATATCGCCGGCTTTGTTCGAAGCCATTGTGCGGTAGGGTTATGTAAGGATGTTGTGTAAATCGCAAAGACGCCGATCGGTCGTAGATGCGCGTCGTTTCGCAGACGAACCAGATGTTCGGGCAAAAGATTTACCCCACGTGGAAGCACAACCCCTTTGGAAAAGGTGAGAAGCGGGAAGATGTCTTTTTTGGGGAAGAAACCAAGCTAATGCAAGGTGAAGTGATAGATCAGGAGGGTATTCAAAACCTCTCGTGGGGTAGATGAATCTAAAAGTGAGGCCCCAAAACAATGACCAAGATCCTGAGAGAAAGAGTGATGAGTGGGAGAAAGAAAGGGAGAGAGTCAGATGGACATTGACATCCGGAAGGGTTCAGATGATGGGGGGGTTTTCCTTTGCATGTGCAATTCGGCTCACTCCTCAGGGCACTTTCAGTTTCCCGCGTCTCTCAAACTTTACCCCACCATTGCCCACCAAGGGTGCGCTGAGTGCCGAGGGAAACTTCATTCAGCTCCAAACAACTTCTTGATGGCAGGTTGTTTGAGGCCTGATAGTAACATCCCGCTGTCATCCCATCTCTGATGCTGTGAAACGGCGATCAAGTCCTTCTTGGAATCTACGCTCCCTCAAACCGGTGCATTCACTTCTTTGCGAGACCTTTACAAGGTTGGGACTTGGGAGTACCTACAAGGAGAGCTCCTGCCATTCAATCTCTCCCCGCCTTCCTGATTTGAGATTTGAGGCGACAAGAAACTCCGGCAGGCAACAACGAATGGGCGACGGGCCGGAGCAAATCATCAAGCGCGTCGATCGACTCGCTGCCACTTGCCAAACTTTCCTCCAGCCTCGTCAGGATTAGAGACCTTGGGACAATCCAACATCGAACACTCGGTTCCCAAGAACTTCCATCTGTTTTCGCATCCTTTCCCGTGTGGACAAGCTTCAAAGCTTCGTTTCCGCATCTTCTTGGCGTCACAAACCTCAACATCACGTTCTCGACTCCCACCTTTGCGGGGCTACCATACTCCACGCTTTCTTCTGCGTGGCCCATTGGATCTCTGACCTGCAGAGGACCTTCCACACTCCACCTTCTGATCCGCGCCCTTCCACCCCCGTGACCAACCCGAGCAGCTCTTCGGCCGCATCCCCACGTTTCTCGGCGCCGTCATTGCATTAGCAAGAACCCGGTCGTGGAGGTTGAACCATCGTTGTATTCAGTTCGTCCAAGGGATCACACGTTGATCACCCACCGCTCAACTTCTACCACCCCAAACGTCAACACCGACCCCATCAACCACCATGGCGCTGTGCCAGAACCGCTTGCAAGAAGAACGGTACGTCGCAGAGCCTTGCGCATCAGTTTCACTACTTCCACCAGACTGATACTTCTCTTCTCTCGTTGTAGGAAGCAGTGGCGAAAGGACCACCCCTTTGGTTTCTATGCCCGTCCGCAGAAGAACGCGCAGGGTGTACTCGACCTCAAGATCTGGGAGTGTGGCATTCCCGGCAAAGAGAAGACGATTTGGGAGGGTGGTCTGTTCAAGCTGACCGTGACTTTCCCTGATGGTATGCGCCCTGCGCCGACGTCTTTAGAAGAACATAAGCGCTGACTGGTCGTTTCTTTTGCATGCAGAGTATCCCACGAAGCCCCCCAAGTGTACGTCAAACCTTGATCCTCGTCCATCCCCCGTTTCCACGATCACATAGCTAACATGTTGGTGTCCGCGCAGGCAAATTCGTCCCCCCTCTCTTCCACCCCAATGTCTACCCCTCGGGCACGGTCTGCCTCTCCATCCTCAACGAAGAAGAGGCATGGAAGCCGGCGATCACAATGAAGCAAATTCTGCTCGGCATTCAGGACTTGTTGAACGACCCCAACCCCGAATCCCCAGCCCAGGCTGAGGCGTACAATCTCTTCAAGAAAGACCGCGTGGAGTATGAGCGTCGGATCAAGCGCGTTGTGCGGGAGAATGCGGCCCCATAGTTTGGAACCAACGATTCGGCGGGTGCTAGGCTGTGGGAAAGAGAGCTGTTTTGTTTTGCTGGACTGGGATACGGAGTTTAGGGATACCAATTCATTGTTTGCGACGGCATCTGGAGGGAGTTCATTCAATGGTAGCGATTCTGCGCACGATTATATCTTCGGCCTACTCTCTATGCTCATGATGGAGGAACAATCGTTCAAGGGAAAAAATACCGACGCTGCGCCCGACCGACCAGTCCGATTGACCCAACTCTCGTGTTCGATACCTGCTGTCTGCGGCTCTAGATCGCCCTTCTGGTAAACTCGCCGTCAGGTTCGGCCGAGGTTTGGCGGGACAAGTGGGATGAACCCTCATGAGTCATCCCATATCGCGGAGGATGTGGTCAAGGCGGTATGCGTTTCGAAGATAGCACCGGAAATATTTTAGGACAATGTTCAGGTCCGGGAAACTTAATCACCCAGTTAGTCACCCAGTCAAAAACTCCGTAAATCACTAGCTCTATCTCTGTTTTCGGAAGGAGGTCTTTAACCTTTGCACGGCAAGGTTGCAACCCACGCTCCGCTTGCCGAGAAACCTGGGGTACCCGTCGCCGGCCCCCCACTTGAGATCTGTGAGTTTAAGCTTTATGCCAGACCCTTCCACTCGAGCAGCGGTTACATAAAAGTTGACACGGTGACGTTGAGAGAGTCTGGACGGGACCTCATCAGCCCACGCAGCTTGGACATAATCTGCCAACGGGTTGTGATGAACTATGCCCCCATCTCACAGTTTGCTTCCCTCTCCACAACGTGCCAGCGCACATGGTCTGGCTCGCTGGCTGATGATGGCTTCCAGAGGGTGAGATGGGCTGTTGGAGGAGCAAGGCTTTCCGCGGTTCTCTTATCAGTCCGGTTTAGGTAATCCCTGGATTGGGGGGGCGCGGGCCCGCGGGACTGAGACCGACATGTGGGGTTTCATTGACCGTTCTTTTTCAGAACAATCTCAGGGACCGGCATGTCCCGACATCGGATTCGCTCAACAATGAATGGGCTGTGAGCCTGTGACGGCCACTGACGGGTTTTGGGGGCGGGGGACCGCGGAACCGCAGGAATACACTACCGCGGGACGGCGGGAGGCTCTGGAGTCAGAGGCGGCTCTTCTGGAGCTGTTGTCGCCTTCTCCGTCTTGGCCGGTGTGTGTTGGAGAGAAGTGCGGAACTGGATGATAAAGCGGGAGCCAGGCAGCCAATGGACCGTAGGAATTGACAATATCCTAGATAAAATAGCAGCAGCTAGTGTTTGGGAGCTTGGCCACGCTGTTAATCATATGCTTCCGTGGAGTCATGGAACACTGGATCTGGGAAAGGAGCAGAGGAGAAGCCACCCTCCGGGGCGAGGCCACAGGAGGCCACCGGAGTAGTGTAGAATGGAGTACGTAGATGACTGGAGTGTTTTGAATGGGTCTTTGGGGGGGGGGGCGAGCGATGTGCGGATTCGTCCCGGGCTGTATCAAGACTTTTGGACCCGATTTCTGGGGTCCCGTCGCCGCATCGGCTCACCACACAATTATTTTCGCCGGGGGGTGCGTGGGCGTGGGTGCGTGTATGACTCTTTGGCTTTTCTTAAACGGCCAGCCCCTTGACTCTCGAGTCCACTATCTCTACTAGACACCCTCCTCTTGTACTTCCCGTTCCTTTTTCCCTCTTTTTCCTCTTCTCTTTTCCCTCTCATCCCTCACTTTATCCCACTCGACCATCTGCAGGCCTTCGTCTTGCTTGCACCCGCAGCTCCTGTGCTCCCCGAGTCGTTCTTTGCGCATCCCGCAGTTTAAGACGACCAACAAACCCGAGTTATAAAGGCGACCCTTCTCTTCGCCAACTCGGTTCTATCTACTCCGCCTCTGAGCGCCAAACAACTTTTTGCCAACAGAGATACCAGGAGTTACTCCAACCAACAGTCAAGATGTGCGGAATCTTCGCTTGCCACAAGTAAGTTTTGCGACTCGATAAGGCTTTGTGGTGTTTTCTCTCTTCAACCAGTCATCGCATATGCGGTTTCGCAACACAACTTTTTGGGGAAGAGCGGAATCGGAATCGGAGGGGCAAGGAACAAGCGCATCCCGTCCGATAACAATCTGCGACCCCAAAATGCCCCGCCAAGATGGAACGGGCGCACCCCTCCATCCGCGGTTGACTCGACGAGCTGCACAAAGAGAAGCGAAGGGATGAAAAGGCCTCTCTTCTTGGGATTGTTTAACTAACACATTGTTCTCCCAAATAGCCACCCAGATGTCGCCAAGTTCAAGCCTACGGCTCTGAAGCTTTCCAAGGCGTAAGCGCCCTTTTCCCCAACTTCCACTTTCCCGTCCGACCGACCGGCGGGCACCGGCAATAAAAAAACATGGGGGGAATTGACTCGATCTAACATTTTTATCTTATCTCTACAGCATCCGTCACCGTGGTCCTGATTGGAGTAAGTCTCATCCCGATCTCCCCTGTCCGCCCCTGAGTCATTATCGCAGATAAACAAAGATGCGATTGCACGCTTGAGCGATGATCCCGACAGCTATTTGGCGAACACATGGCTAACAAATGGTCTTTTTTTGAACAGGCGGCAGCGTCACTTGCCACAACACCAGTATGACAATTCTTCTACCGAACCCGAGAATCCATAGAAATGGAGATGAAGGGACAAAATTGACTGACAAAATACGCTTCACACAGTTCTCTGCCATGAGCGTCTTTCTATCGTCGGTGTTGAGTCCGGTGCTCAGCCCCTCACCAACGCCGATGAGACCATTGTCGTTGCCGCCAACGGCGAGATCTACAACCATCGTCTTGTCCGCAAGCACTTGAAGACCCCCTACCACTTCAAGACCACCTCAGATTGCGAGGTCATCATTCCTTTGGTGAGTTTGCGCGCTTGTCAAAGATCGGATGAAATGGTGACTTACACAATGCGATGCAGTACCTCGAGCATGGCATCGATGCCCCCAAGTACCTCGATGGCATGTTCTCTTTCGTTCTCTACGACAAGAAGCAGGACCGCACGATCGCCGCCCGCGACCCTATCGGTATCACCACCCTCTACAAGGGATACAACTCCCAGGAGCCCGGCTCCGTCTACTTCGCCTCCGAGCTCAAGTCCCTCCACCCCGTTTGCGACAAGATCGAGGCTTTCCCTCCCGGCCATGTTTTCGACAGCTTGACTGGCGAGACCACCCGTTACTTCGAGCCCTCGTGGTGGGATGAGAAGAAGTGCCCCCAGACTCCTCTCGACCTCAAGGTTCTCCGCGAGACTCTTGAGAAGTCCGTCAGGAAACGTCTGATGGCTGAGGTTCCCTACGGTGTCCTTCTTTCCGGTGGTCTTGATTCTTCTCTGGTTGCTGCTATTGCCCAGAGGGAGTCTCTCCGCCTCAGGAAGCTCGCTGAGGAGCAGGCTGCCAACAACCAGGAGGTTGACCCCGAGGCTCAGGACAAGGGCGAAGGTCTCGTCGGTATCGATGATGATAACAAGCTCTCGACCGTCACTTTCCTTCCCCAGCTCAACTCCTTCTCCATCGGTCTCCCCGGCTCTCCCGACAACAAGGCCGCCCTTGAGGTCGCGAAGTTCCTCGGCACCAAGCACCACGTCATGACCTTCACTATTGAGGACGGTCTTAACGCGCTTTCCGATGTCATCTACCACCTCGAGACCTACGATGTCACCACCATCCGTGCCTCTACCCCCATGTACCTCCTCTCTCGCAAGATCAAGGCCATGGGTATCAAGATGGTTCTCTCTGGTGAGGGCTCCGATGAGATCTTCGGCGGTTACCTCTACTTCCACGGCGCTCCCAACAAGGAGGAGTTCCACGAGGAGTGCGTCCGTCGCGTCAAGAACCTCCACTTGGCCGACTGCCTGCGCGCCAACAAGTCCACCTCTGCTTGGGGTCTTGAGGCCCGCGTGCCCTTCCTCGACAAGGAGTTCCTCGAGGTTGCCATGAACATCGATCCCCAGGAGAAGATGATCACCAAGGAGAAGCTCGAGAAGTACATCCTCCGCAAGGCCTTCGACACCAAGGACCAGCCCGAGGGTGCCTACCTCCCCGACAACATCCTCTACCGCCAGAAGGAGCAGTTCTCCGACGGTGTCGGATACGGATGGATCGACGCCCTCAAGGACCAGGCCGAGCTCCAAGTCACCGACGAGATGATGAAGAACCCCAAGCCCGAGTGGGGCAGCGATATCCCCGATACCAAGGAGGCTTACTGGTACCGCTGCATGTTCGACGAGCATTTCCCCCCTTCGTGCGCGTCTACCGTCATGAGGTGGACCCCCAAGTGGGTTAAGCAGACCGACCCCAGTGGCCGCGCCATCTCCATTCACCAGGCCAAGTATGACCACGTGGATGAGTAAAGCAAAAGCCAAAAACTATTTAAATAAAAAAGGGAAAATGTGTATATAAAAATGGGGATTGGAATGTTTCTGTACTGCTTGGTCTGGGGTTTTACATTGTAGGGCGTTATATGGGGTCAAAGAAAAAGGATCGCGTATACCTATACTAGCAATCAACCCAGCATAGAAATGAAGACAAAAAGTGATCAAAAACATTGTTTGTATAAAGAATCAGTTCGTTTGTTAGTCGTGAACCATGACCGTGGGATTGGGACTAACCTGGTGTGAGCAAAGTTGCAATACATGACAAGTGAAACAAGGTTAAGACCTAACCAAGAGACGATAACCACGATGAAAGGAGGTGACGATTACGCGATAAAGTGATGGAAGATGCTTGCATCATGTCGGTGCTGTGAGGTGCGAAATTTCTCGGGATGACACAGACGGGATGCATTTGCGGCATGAGCGGGTGAAAGGGCTGGCTGCTGCAGACTCATGATGCCTTCAGTTTGTGATTGTTTACCTTTGGAGAAGTCGTGAAAGGGGGCAATGACGCACAGAGGGGTTAGGGTTATGGCGCGTATGAACGGGCTGGTTTCGTCAACGGCGTGGGGTCGCGACGGTGCTGTGCTTCAGGCTTGTCATCGTGAGTCTCTAGCGCGGATTGCCGAGCTGCCAAACGCACACGGCAGAGAAGAACCAATCACGACGTCGTCAGAGAAATTTCTCGGGACATTGGACCGGGTCTTGGGTCTCTGGTCTTCCCAACATTTCCATTTCCACTTTTTTGCTGGAGCCTCCCAGACCCGACGCCGACTTCCCAACCCAGTCGCCAGAACCCACCAGAGGCAGCACCGCAGCCCCGTCAGTCGCAGCCGACCCGACCCTGCTCCCCCGCCGCGCGCAACATAATCGCAAGCACTTTTCTCTCCCGACTCCCGTCTCCCGCTCGCGTTCTTGAACTCCGCAACCTCACATTCTCCATACACCAACATACCCGTGTCGCCCTCACACAACATCTCTCAAAATGGCTGTTCCCGCTTTCTCTGATATCGCCAAGTCGGCCAACGACGTAAGCAAAAATCACGCCCTCCCTGTTGCACCGCGCCCGAGCTATGACGGCGAACCTGTTGGATCGATGCTATCGAGAGACGTGTTGTCTGTTTGGCCAGGGGGAAAGCTGCCCAAGCTCCAAAGCTGAAGCGGCATTTCCCCATACCTACACATCCCACTCTCGCGATAGCAAACGAGCATCGTCAACACCAAGATATCCATGAAGCACCATCGTCATCGTCCAACCCCCACTATGCTTCATGATTGAGCACTGGCAACCCATGCACGCACTATAACGTATCGCTAACCATTGACTTCTTTGCGCGCAATATAGCTCCTCAACAAGGACTTCTACCACCTCTCTGCCGGCACCATCGAGGTCAAGTCCAACACCCCCAACAATGTCGCCTTCAAGGTTACTGGCAAGTCCAGCCACGACAAGGCCACCTCCGGTGCTGTACGTTTACCTCCTCCCTCCCCTGGGGCTCTCGGCGCAACGCCGCGATAGCATCAACTTGGTGTTGCGCCGAACGCCCTCCCTTCTCTCCTGTTGCGAACAGACCATGCTGACCTCTTTTTACCTATAGCTCGAGGGCAAATTCACCGACAAGCCCAATGGTACATATCCTCTTTCTCTTACATCTTCGTCTTCTTCTTTTGATGCCCACTCTCCTGGTGGCCCCCTTCCTCCCACCGGACAGGTACCTCCCGCATATTGCTGTGCCCATCGCTGTTTCCACGGTCTTGAGAACAAGACACCCAAGAAGGGCTTACCTCCGGGCTTCTGCATCGTTCATAATCGCATCCATAAAAGCAAAAAGGCCAGTAATCTTTGTCTCGGCGGAAGTTTAGCCGCCAGCGACAACGGTACTGCCAAAGTGAAACCAAAGGAGAGGACTTCAGCACATACCCGGCCTCCGGTAGACGCCAATTTCTCTCTCGGCGGGATCATGGGTCCTCGGATTCGAGGACGACCTGTCAATCTCAGCTTTTACTATAGTCCGTTTTTCAACCACACGACAATGCTAATGTACTGGCGAACAACAGGCTTGACCGTCACCCAGACCTGGAACACTGCCAACGCCCTTGAGACCAAGGTCGAGATGGCCGACAACCTCGCCAAGGGTCTCAAGGCTGAGGGTATCTTCTCCTTCCTCCCCGCCACCAACGCCCGCGGCGCCAAGTTCAACCTCCACTTCAAGCAGAGCAACTTCCACGGCCGTGCTTTCTTCGACCTCCTCAAGGGCCCCACCGCCAACATCGACGCCATTGTCGGCCACGAGGGTTTCCTCGCTGGTGCCTCCGCCGGCTACGATGTCCAGAAGGCTGCCATCACCGGCTACTCCGCCGCCGTCGGCTACCACGCCCCTACCTACAGCGCTGCCATCACCGCTACTGACAACCTGAGCGTTTTCTCCGCTTCTTACTACCACAAGGTCAACTCCCAGGTTGAGGCCGGCTCCAAGGCCACCTGGAACTCCAAGAGCGGTAACACCGTCGGCCTCGAGGTTGCCGCCAAGTACCGCCTTGACCCCGTCTCTTTCGTCAAGGTATGTTCTTACTGTGATTCTGATGGTTATGGAACGTAAAGGTGGCTGACCATGTTTTTCAACCGAACAGGGCAAGATCAACGACCGTGGTGTCGCTGCCGTTGCCTACAACGTTCTCCTCCGTGAGGGCGTCACCCTCGGTGTTGGTGCCTCTTTTGATACCCAGAAGCTTGACCAGGCCACCCACAAGGTCGGCACCAGCTTCACCTTCGAGTCTTAGAGTACTCCCTGGAAAGTTGTTAAGAGGAAGACGAAGCAGAAGCGTGTTATCAATCGCCCGGAAAGAACATTTTCAACTGGAATAGATAATCCCCCTTTGCTGGCAACGTGGAGCCTCCCTTTCAGTAGTGATGCTCTTTTTTCATCATGAAGACAGTGTGAATATGACGAATGTTTGTCACGCGCCCTGCTTCGGGTGGCTGACTGATAAGAAGACGGATTTGTTTATACTAGTTTGAGTTACTGTATGTGTAATGAAGAAGCAAAAAGTTTCATGTAGCGTCTTGATGGACATACTTAGACTGGGGATGTGTGGAAACCAAGCGCGATCTTTACTTCAGAGTATAAATACCCATAGCGATTTTCAATACGCTCATTCACCATATTCAGGATATGTTAAAATTCCAAATGGCTCTGCAATGGAGTGAAGCATCAAATAGAACTCTGGGTATCACCCCTTCATGGTAGCAAGGCTTGAAAATAAGAAAGATAACCCGGGCGAAGCGCGGTTTTTTGTGCGCCTTTAAGCTGTATAGGCGTATGTCTCAAATTGAGAGATTTTGGTTTGATACACGATAGAGAGACTAGGGATGGGACAATGCTAATGGTTCGTGACAGAGTGGCTTATCGATATGGGACTCATACCCCGTCATCTTCTCAGAGCAGAGTGAGATACGAATGTGTTGTGGTAGTGTACGAGGCCCCTCTCTTAACTCTGAAAGTTCTGGTACGCCCAAAGGGTCTACCGTAGTTCTTATGACTTGGAAGCCACCACAGTTCTGTTAACCTGTGGTTCTGGAGTAGTTCTGTTACCCTACTATGGTTCCACAGTCCTTTTCAACCTGCGGCTTCAGTCTTGTTCATAATCATCATCACCACAGCGACCTTCCCACCCATCAAGCAGCCGCGGCAGCCTGCTTCCTACTCCCCCACCACTTCCGTTCCCACCACTGCTCTTCCCACCACCACCACCACCACCACCACCACCAGCCGCACCCTTCCCGGTACTCTTCCACTCCCCAAACAGCCAATAAGGTCCAAAGCTCGAAACCACTAACACCGCCGTGACCACAAAGAAGCTCGTCCAATTCCCCTGCTGAAGCTCCGGCAACACCTTCTTCCCACCCCCTCCTTGCGTTTGCGCCCGCTCCTCCTCCTCCCCGTGTTGCTGATAGTAGAACTGCTGGTCCCGCTGCTGCTGTCTAGCCTGCTCTTGCCTCCGCGCATGCGACTTCTTTAGGTTTTCCCATAGCTGTTCGTGCGTGCGCGTGTGTTGCTCGCTGTCAAAGTGAGGGGCTGTCGAGGGGTCGAAGTGTTGGCCTGTCCATTCTTTTCTTTCTTGTCGTCCTCCGGGTCCGGTTTCATTGGTGGTCTGGGAACCGAAGCCAGCAAAGCCAGCGAAACCACCCTGAGGATACCCCGTCTCTGCGGCTCTTTGCTTTTCTCGCTCGCGTTTAGCTTTCGACTCGCCGTACCCGCCTTGTCTGAAGAAACTGGGGGGTGGAGCGCCTTGGGTCGTGCTGCGCCGTTTGGAAAGACCGGATGCCGGACGGCCGCCGGCTGGACCGACGGAGGAGGAGTGGTGCGAGCCGTGGGCGCGGGCGCGCAAGTGAAGACGCAGGACGTCGCGGTCGTACTTGAGGCGCTTGTCGGCGTGGGAGAGGATGGAGTAGGCTTCGGAGATGCGCATGAAGCGGTGGGCGGAGTGAGGGTCTGAAGGGTTGTGGTCAGGGTGGTGGGCTTTGGAGAGGTGGTAGAAGGATCTAGGAGACGTGAGAGGTTAGAATAGGTACTATGTAGAGGCATATAGGATGTTTGAGCAGGTGAGTATGTTCGAGACGTTGGGGAATGTGATATTGAGATGTTGAGGAAGTTCAGCTGCGAAGAAGGGGTGGATCGCAATGTGTAAGTGATAAGAAAGTCCAGGTGGAGTTCGCGATAGGAGCTTGAAGAAAGACAATGTTTACTTCTTGATTTCCGCCTGAGTGGCGTCAAAGTGAACGTTTAACGTTTCATAGTGATTCTTGTAATGTTCCGGCTCTTGACGACCGGTTCGTAGAGTATTCGAAGTAGTGAAGTTTCGGGAGACATTGTTTGCGCCGTTAACTCTCACGGTGAATGAGGGTGGAGGAGCAGAAAGCTGGGGAAGACGACGACATTGGCGACCAAGAGGGCGCAAGGCCGCACCGAAAGAGCTGTAATGGATTGGCATTCCTCATCCCGTCCTCGATGGGCTCATAGATAATCCTTCATATTATGTCAAACGAAGAAAACACTGAGGCGCAATTGACGATGTTCGATGGTAGGTAGATTAGATTTGGCTTCAAGCCTAATAAGGAAGTTGTGGTCAGGATCCCTGCTGCCGGTGACGCAGTGACATAATCGAGGGACAGCTGGGTGTCCTCGAAGGAAGCTCTGGCCACCGCTCGCCCCGTGACAAGCATGTCCCTTCAATTGGCACTTGTGCAACTTTAAGCCTCCAATATCCGGATAACGCGGCAATTAAAGGACCGACCTGGGTCAGGTCAGCTCATGCCGGTATTCGAATGTCAATTCAAGGGCGCTGGGGCGTTCCACTGAAACCCCGCGTTTGTTAAAAAGTTGCGCCCTGTAGCCCTGGACGGATCGCTGTAAGTGGTCAGCCGTTAAGTTTTTGACCATGGGGGCGATAAGCGATATTCTGAGCTTTGGATGGTGGGGTTGAACTTTGTTGCTTGAAGAACACCCAGCTTTATTTCCGTCTTCAACAACCAAACCCCCCGTCTGTTCTTTCTTGATATCTTCCCGGTCAGGAGACATCAGACAGACAAGATGGCAGCTCAAGCAGCCCCAGCAGAAGAGCTTAGCAAGCTCAGCGGTACGGACTTCAACATCCTCCCAGCACCCTGCATCACGGCGCAAACATCGACCGCAATCACTGACTTATTGATTTCGATAAACAGTCGAAGAGACCAAGCCCGTCTCCGCCGCCGCCAACGGCAACGACAGCAATGCCGAGTCCGGCGATGAGGAAGGCGAGGAGGGTACCACCCCTGCTGCCGGCGCCGCCAAGAAGAAGAAGAAGAGAAAGCCCAGAAAGAAGAAGAAGGCCCCGACCAGCCAGAGCGAACCCCCTCGTGTCCTCGTCTCCCAGCTTTTCCCCAACAAGCAGTACCCCAAGGGCGAGGAGGTCGAATACGTCAACGACAACCTGAGCCGCGTCACCAACGAGGAGAAGCGCCATCTCGACAGCCTTGCCTCTAACCAGGAGTTCTTGACCGATTACCGCCACGCCGCCGAGGTTCACAGACAGGTTCGCCAATGGGCGCAGAAGAGCATCAAGCCCGGCCAGACCCTGACCGAGATTGCCGAGAACATCGAGGATAGCGTTCGTGCCTTGACCGGTCACACTGGTCTCGAGGAGGGTGACGCCCTAGTCGCCGGGATGGGTTTCCCTACCGGTCTCTCCATCAACCACTGCGCGGCGCACTACACCCCCAACGCCGGCAACAAGATGGTTCTGCAGGAGGACGACGTCATGAAGGTGGATTTCGGTGTCCACGTCAACGGCCGCATCGTCGACAGCGCCTTCACCGTCGCCTTCAACCCCCGCTACGACCCCCTTCTCGAGGCCGTCAAGGCCGCCACCAACGCCGGTATCAAGGAGGCCGGTATCGACGTGCGCGTGGGCGACATTGGTGCTGCCATCCAGGAGGTCATGGAGAGCTACGAGGTCGAGATCAACGGCCAGATGCTCCCCGTCAAGTCCATCCGCAACTTGAACGGCCACACCATCAGCCACTACAGCATTCACGGCACCAAGAGCGTGCCGATCGTCAAGAGCAACGACCAGACCAAGATGGAGGAGGGCGATGTCTTTGCCATCGAGACCTTCGGCAGCACGGGTAACGGTTACGTGCACGAGGAGGGTGAGGTCTCGCACTACGCTAAGCGTGGTGATGCGGCCAAGGTTGACCTCCGTCTGTCGTCTGCCAAGTCGTTGCTCAAGGTTATTGACAAGAACTTTGGTACTCTGCCTTTCTGCAGGCGTTACATTGATCGTTTGGGTCAGGACAAGTATCTTCTCGGGGTAAGTTTCTTTCTTCTCTTCTCGGTGTGTTCGGTGTCTAAATAGCCCGAATACTTTTTGCTAACGCGTCCTGTGCAACAAACAGTTGAACAACCTTGTGTCGCAAGGTATCGTTGAGGCTTATCCCCCGTTGGTTGATAAGAAGGGCTCTTACACTGCCCAGTATGAGCACACCATCCTGCTCAGACCTACCGTCAAGGAGGTTATCAGCCGTGGTGATGATTTCTAAAGGGATTAATGGGATATAGCATAGCATAGGATATAGGGTACGACAAAAAAGTCTGAGATTTGTTTGGTTCATGAATTTTCTGTATAACATCTGTGTGTAAAAGATTGTAAATATCACGGGTTTATGGTGATGGGTGCGCTCTGATAGGGAGAAAGTGAACGAACGCTCGAGCCAGAAGCCCAGAGCGCACCCATCAGCCTTGAGGACCAGTGACACAGAGTTCACGTTTTGACGTTTTGGTTCATCAACCTGGAACCGTGGGTTTGGCTAATGTCAGGGACCTGACGCTGATAGTTTGGACTCATCCAGCATGTGAGAGCTAGTGCCGTCAAAGTGTTGCGCGGGCTCCTGTTTCAACATGAATAGCCGTCTCAACCAAAGGGATGACCGGAGAAGATTGCGGAGCCAAGACGGTCTCAAAGATCCACTTTGTGCTCCGTGCCGGACGATTTGGACCCAGCGATCCACAGGCCGTGCCGTACCGATGCGGAGAAATTCTACGGCCTTCCGGATTGTCAATCAGCGGCGAAGAGTGACGGAAGCTGTCACGGAGGCGGAGTGATCGACATAGAGGGATGACGGAGGAATGCCGGGGGCAGTGAAGGGGTCTTGGGAGGCGATCTGCTGTGACGTCTACGGCGCTTCGTGTGTATGGTTGTGGTCTGTGCTTTTGTCTGATTCGCCGTGTCCGGCCTGCCCGAACCCGAGGTTGGTGATTCCCCTGGTTGGGAGATTCGTACTGTAGTTCTAAAATCTGGTTCATCCCATAGGCCGATTGCACGGATGCGTTGCCACTTTTTTATGTTAAACACGGACCCGATAAGATTTCGTGTGAGACGGGAGTGGACGGGCCAGCGGACTCAGTGGGCCACTGGGCCGCGCGGGGGCGTGCAACGCTGAAAAAAAAGGCGTCACATTTTTGGTTCCGTTTGGTAAAAGCCGAAGAATGTTCACGATGACAAGCGGAGGAAGGTATTAATAAAGCCCGCAACCGCCCTTCCTCTGGTCCGTTCCGGTCTTGCTGTTTTTGAAGTCTCACAAAGTTTGTTCCACTCTGATTTCAAACGTCTTATATCTATACTGCATAGCACTGCGCTTTACCTGCATTCACGCGATCATTTACCATAAACGAAATCTACATCACCTACCTATTTTTCCGTCCTAAAAACCTTATCGGACGGGGTCCATTCGAGTGTCACAAGCAAACCAGGCACGCCCTCCGTTATCGTCGATCAACCTAAGGTTCCAGGCCGTTGTTCGGAACGCCGGTTTTCTTTACCCAGTCAGCTAGTCAACTTTCAGCAAGTCTAGCCCCTGCGAAGAACTTTCTGCTGCGCTCCTCCGCTCTCTACGCGCACTCCTCCCAGGTGTCATCACAAGCCAATCCTTGACCACCAAAAAGTCCTATTCTTGTCGTTGGTTCAAACGATTTCTTACACCACCACCACCACCATCCGACACCCTTTCTCTACCTGACCGCTCACCCGCGTCACCGCAATTGTCGACAATAAAGGATTGTCTATCCTTTTCTTGCGGTCTGCTTTTTTGTCTGCGCGTCGCTTTCGAGTCGATTTCTTTTTCTTTTTAAAAGGGTTTCATATCTCGACACTCGATAAACCCATCACCACCACCGAACTCGATAAAAGCCTATCACACACATCTATCAAAATGAAGGTCTTTTCCAACACAGAAACCTTCAATTACTCCTGGGAAGAGGTATCCGCCGCCAACTGGCGGAAGTACTGCCCATGGAACGAGAAGTCGACGCACGTTATCGCCGTCGACACCATCAGCCGCAGCGTCGACCCTGCCACCGGCATCCTACGCACCGAGCGTCTGATCACCTGCCGTCAGGCTGCTCCGGAATGGCTCAAGAGCATGATGGGCGGTGGCATGGACGAGTCGCAAGTGTTTGAGACCTCCTACGTCGACCCCAAGACCAAGACCGTCACCATGGTCTCTACCAACATCACCTTCAGTAACCTGCTCAACGTTCAGGAGACCGTCGTCTACTCCCCTCTCAGCGAGCACCAGACCAAGTTCCACCAGGAGGCCCAAATCACTGCCCTGGCTGGTGGCTGGCAGCGCATCAAGAACAGCATCGAGGACACTCTCGTCAAGAGGTTCCGTGAGAACGCGGCTAAGGGCAAGGAAGGATTCGAGTCCGTGCTGGCCATGAGCAGGCGCGTCTTCGCCGAGGAAAGGGAGAAGGAGAAGATGGGCCTCATCAGGGAGCAGGCGGGTAACATCCGCATGGCTGCCTAAGTCTTCCTTTGCGATCTGAGATCGCTTTGATATATCCGATTCATCTCGGCATCGTCGGAGCGATTGAGCGACGGCATAACCATCACACATCAACGACAGCATCTACGCCGGCAACGCATCAACAAATCGTCTGCTCGATCATGACGCCAAATCACGACATTCGCCGACACAAATTCGTGTCGCGCACCATTATCCGTGGCAAGCAAACAAAGGATTGAGCTGAAAAACTCACTCCGGGTAACTTCGCGCCGCGGGCTTTGTCTCCGGCTTGGCGCGGCGTCGATGATGCATTATCTTACACACTTCTTTCTTTTCATTGCGATTGATGGGTTTACACAAAAGGGGTGTCGAAACGGAGTCCGGGGGTTAGCCAACAAAAAGCATAGACTTGGAGTCAACTTCATTAGACGGCGTTCGGTTTGGGGGGGAAAAAGAAGCGACTTGCATTGCGTTCTTCATTTATATCTACTTCATTTTTCAGACTTTCAGATTTCAGAAGATGTGTTATTATAGACTTGCATTTTCCTTCCTCTTCACTCGTCTCTTGTGTGTCTTTTATCTCCCTCCGTCATTATCATTCCCATCATGTCGAGCGGTATTTGCACAGAGGATTTTTTTTCGGAGATACCCCTGATTTATTTTTGATTTTCTTTAGGATGATGGCGGAAGAGAAAAGTGGGAGTCATCATTTGTCATTTCTTCCGGTCTTCCGGACAAAGAAGCGAGAAGGGAGGGGTGATGGCCTCCGATGCGACGGCTCAACAAGCGCGCGCGCGGGATAGAAATTCTCTTTGCTGCACATACCCTAGACGTTCGGTTCAGATAAAGTACCTAGTTCGCATCGGCTATGATGGGATGATACAAAGAGATGAGAGGCAGGATAGAGAGGAATTTGGGAAGAACATTTAGAAAGAGCATTTAGAGCGTTTGTTAGATTTTAGCCATTTGAGGTACAGATAAGAGACATCTTACCATTTCTCCGCTCTCGACATTTGGGGTGCTATTCTTTAACGATCGTGACTGATGTTCGTCTCATGATGCTCAATGGCTTTTCGCGATGAACATATGCTGGATTTGCGTTCGGTTGACGCTCATCTAACCTCGCACTCACACCGGACGAACCATTGTCATTTCATCTTGACCCCACTTCGGACTTCAGACTTCAGACCAAGATATCAACAAAGTCAACTTGCCAACTCCGCATTGCACAGCATCGTCGACCACTCATAAATGTGCATATAAAGGGTATCATTAAAACCAGCCTACCAGTCCTCTCCCCTCTCCTTTCTTCCCAGTCCCTCTCATTCTCTCAACCCTACTACTGCCCCTTCGACTTCAACCTCTCCCCACACCTAGTCTCATACAACCTCAACAACCCCGTCGTATCTTTATCAAACAACCCCTCCCCCGCATCCGCCCTTATTTTCTGAATCAGCGCCACCGCCTCCTCGTATCTCCGGAAAAAATAAAGCTCCTCCACCGCGTGCAAGATCTCTTGCGCTTCTGGCTTGTTGATGGTCCTGCTGCTTCCGTCGGAGGAGGTAGAGCCGAGGGGGAAGGGGAGGTTGAGGTGGAACTTTGGGGTTTGTCAGTTGTAATGCTAGGGTGGATGGAGGGGATAACTAGGGAGAAGACATACCTCCCCGTTCTCAACCTTCACTCTGTACGTCCTCTTCAATTCTTGAAAAGCTTCTTCCGAGAGGGCGGTGCGGTCGGCTTTGGTTGCTGGAGGTGCGCATTCGGGTACGACTTCGGTTTTGGCATTTGTGGTGGTCGTCGACTCGTCTTCGGAATCAGAGCCCAGGCCGATGCCTAGGAGGCCGGACTCGAGGGCTTCGGCTTCGGCTTCGAGGGACATGATGTTGTGATGTTTCGAATATGAAGATTGAGATTTTTTTCGTGATGGATTTTGGCAGGTATGGCTGGTGGCTGGCTAGTGGTAAATGGTTGAGCTATCTGTCTGTGAGGTGATTTGATGTTGGAAGGCTGAGGTGAATGAAGAGGAAGTAATGAAATGAAAGGTGTAAGTCGGGCAGTGAAAGGACTTTCCCATTCATCCCCGGGATGCAAGTTCTCTGGAGTCCGGACAAGGAAGTGAAGACAGCCCGCAATTGCGGAGCCCTATAATCAAATGCCGTTTGTTTGTGAGCTGGGTACTCCTAACGTGGAGGACAGGAAGCATCCTACATTATCCCAAGCCTTACAAGGACAAGATGAATGGTTGGGCATGATTTGGAAAGGCATAGCGAGAACAAATATGGTATACACAAGCAAAATAACGCTTTTGTTATAGAACGAAAGGAATGAATCAGATATGCAAACCGCTTGAGAATGTTGACCAGAGGTCTCGAACTAACAACCAAACCATTATGGACTGTACAACGGAGCGGCATCTTCCCCGCAGTGGCCCGTGGAGCTCCGTAGGGCGGCCCCACACCTCCTGCCATGTCGGTGCTGGCCAGGCCCGGCCGGGGTTGGGACTTGGGTCAGGTCTCTCCTTCCTTCACCGATTGACTTCTTGACAATAGTAACTTCCTATATGGGAACGGCAGAACAATCGTTGGTCAAAGTCAACTTACAAATCTCTACAAGTTTCCTCTTTTCCCGTTTCACTTCTTCTTCTTCTTCTTCTTCTTCTTCATCACCAACTTACAAGTGACATCATTACGTTTATCAGTCATTACTCTTCAGCATACCCCCTTCGTCTTCGGAACATGTCAAACACAATGGACTCACAGATAGAGCGTTTGGCCAACAGGGCCGAGCAATTGTTGCACAAGATGCGGAATGATCAGAGACTATGTGCGTCCTCGCTTGTCCTTTTCAACTTTACCCTTTTTCCTCTTTTACTTTCGACCAGCAGATAGATATAACTGACACTGCACTCCCAAATAGTGATCGCCATAGCCGGTATTCCGGGCTCCGGTAAGCTTTCTTTCTTTCTTCTCTGCCACAGAGCTGTCCTCCCCTTCTCTCTCCTGTTCCCTCTCCCTCCGCCCCCGATCACCAGCCCAGTCCATCACTTAACTAAACCTATCCCACACACAGGAAAAACAACCCTCGCCGAAATCCTCGCCAAACGCCTCAACTTCAACCACGCCCAACACAGCAGCGAGATTACGTCCCCCCACTATAAAAAGATAGCCATCACCCTCCCCATGGACGGTTTCCACCTCACGCGCGCCCAGCTCTCCGCCATGCCCGACCCGGAAATGGCCCATGCGCGACGAGGCGCCGAGTTCACTTTTGATGGCAAGGGATTCTACGAGCTGGTGAAGGAACTGCGGAGGCCGATCACGAGCGAAAGCACGGCGACGGTGTGGGCGCCTAGTTTCGATCATGCGGTCAAGGATCCCGTGGAGATGGGGATCGAAGTGCCGAGGGAAGCGAGGGTGATTATTTTTGAGGGGAATTGTAAGTCTCTCTCTCTTACTCTCTGTGTTTCACTATTGCATCTTTCTTCCATTCTTGCGTGAAATGGTTGTTGGGGGCATTCGGAAAGCTAATGGAAACAAAAACAGATCTCCTACTAGATCAAAAACCCTGGTCCGATGCCGCCAAGATGATGGACCTCAAGTTCTTCGTCAGAGTGCCGTTTGATGTTGCCACGGAAAGACTGGTGAAGAGACACTTGGCTGCTGGGCTTGCGGCGACAGAAGAGGAGGCCATGAAAAGGGTGGTGGAAAACGATTTGGTTAATGGGAAGATGATTGAGGATTTGTTGAAGGAGGAGGAGGTGGATGAGTTTGTGGACAGCGGGGAGTCAAAGTCAGAGGGGGTGCACACTTAGGGAGTGAGTGACGAGAGGGATAGTATGGCTGGGGATGAGGAAGAGAATACAAGCCGGGGAGATAGCGCGTATGAGACCGGATCTGAGGCGGAGAATCGAGTATTTGGGGGCTGGCCGCGAGTGAATACGGTGGAGGCTGTTCAGAAAGAGGAGGGAGAGATGGGGTATTTGAGGGATGATAGTGAGGATGACAGTGGATATAACAGCGGGTATGAGGCGGAGAATGAGGATGACGAGAGTGAGACAGAGAGTGAGTGGTGGGAGGGGCTAAGTTGGTGGAGGAAGCTGTTCCATGCTTTGGCGGGGATTGTCAAGGTTTGTGGCGACCTTTATCTGGATGATGTCTATGATCAGGCTTGAGGTTCATTAATTTATGACAGCGTTGAAGCGGAAAGGTTGTGCTTTAGGAGTCATTGGCATGGCTGTCACGATCACGAAAAAGAGACACTTGCATTGTCGAAGCGGAACTCTGTTTTACTGCTTTATTCCTTCTACTGTCTATAGTCTATAACTATAGGGGTATCTTGAGCTTGCTCGCAAGTCTGGTTTAGAATATGTGCGTGCTGTTGATGTTTGCAAAGCATCACTGTTCCTCTCTTCTCTTCCCACTAACTCCTCTCCTGATTGCTTTCACGCTTGTCTTCTTCGGTCGTGGCGGAAAGCGTATGTATGCGTTGTGTGCGTGTGCGTATGTCTTATGCTCTTTCTGTCTTAGTGGTATATCTCGAATCCCACGCCCTGGTATCTCTTTTCGTGTCTGCATAAATCATCAATCATAAGGCATGAGGTCTCGGTCTCGTACGCCCCTGTCTTCATCTGTCATCCAACACCCCTCAACATTTCTTCTCTTGTCTGCTTTAATCCTCCAAAATCCTTGTATCAAGCTCCAACTGCGGGAGTTCCCAAGGCGCCCTCTGTCTCTCCCACTCCGGAGTCGGATTCGGATCCTTCCTCACTTCATCCACCTGTTGTCCTTCCCGACCATCTGGACCCACACGATCTTCATCTTGATTTCCATCATTCTCCTTCCGAGGCTCATGATCATCCTCACCACTACTCTTCCCCCATGTTTTCTCAAACTGAATCCCCGTCTGCCGCTGAGGTTGCTGCTGCTGTTGAGACCTCCTCTTTTCCTCTTTGTCCCCATCAGGCTTATCACCAATCCCCAAACTTCTCGATAGTCTCTTCAAAACCCCTCCATTTTCCGCCCTCGCAGCCCTTTCTGCTGCTTTCACCCTTTCCCTTTGTCGGTTCATGATAATCTGATCCAGCGTCATAGGGTTTTCGCTACCCCTACGTTCAGAGAGTGATAGTCCCCTTCCAGCAAAACCAGGACTACTGGGTCCGCTTTCCATATCCCCTCCGCCGCTCCGTCGTCGTTTAGTCGAAGAAGTGCTAACAAGCACACAATCTGCCATCTCCCTCGCATCTCTAACCACCGTCAAAAAGATGGGATAAAGCATCGTTATCGCCATGAGCACAATAACCACAATGAACGAAGTCTGGATACTTCCGCCCCGTTGCAAGATCGCGTACGAAACGAATGGCCAAAAAGCGGGGCCGGATCCGCCCATCGTTAGCCACGCGGCTGTTTGTTTCGTTCGCTTTCCTTGCCCGCGGAGGCCCAAGCTGAAGATTAACGGCCAGATGGGACCTTCGAAGAAGAAGAACAAAATAATCGGGACGGCCATGAAGTTTGGTTTGGAGGCGGGTTTGTAGACGACGGTCATTAGGACGAAGATCGTTGATAGGAAGGCGCAGACAGAGAGGATTGTTCGCGGGGATGGGATGTATTTGGAGGAAGGGTTTTGCACGTGCAGGTAGCAGAGGTAAGCGGCTATGAAGCGGGAGATGGCGAACGCGGTGTGCGCCACCACTAGATAATTGAGGGTGCTCATTGCGAACCCCTCAGGGCGCGAGTTGGGGTATTCTTCGTGCGTGTCGGAAAAGGCGGTCATGAGACGGGTGAAGAATACCGACATGTTTTCTTGCGCGGCAACGTAGAACCATTGCGAGACGACGGCCAAAATAATGCAGACTGTGCGGAGCGACAACCCGCCGATGGAGCGCCTTTTTGGGTCCACGGGAAGACGCTCCGAGAGACGGCCTAGTTCGCGGTCGGTTACCTCCGGTAGGGGCGAGTAGTAGAAGAAGAGAGCTAGCAAGACGCAGAGGAGAGTGATGGTTAGGTAGGTCCATTGGACATCGAGCAAAGTCGTGGGGCTGTGCCGTCGTGCTTCGATGGTGTGGAAGAAGACGTTGTTGGCGAGGACGCCGCTGAGGACGGCGCCGACGGCTTGGACGCCTTGAGCTAGAAGAAGGCGCATATCGGCGTATTCGGGCGGTCCGCAGAGCACAAGAAAGGGGTTGGCGGCGGTTTCCAAGACGGCCAGGCCGAAGCCTACGACGAAACTGCTAGCCATGAACCCGCCGTAGGCTGTAAGGACGGCGCCGGGCCAGAACATGATGGTTCCAACGCCGTAGATGAGCAAGCCGACGATGAAGGTCGCCTTGAAACCACCGATCGGCTCAATGTCGCCCCGTCTTGGTTTTCTGAAACGGCGGTGTTCGTCGTGGCATAGGAGCCAGCCTCCCACGAGAAGAGGTCCGAGGAGGTAACCGCCGCCAAAGTAGACGCTCGTTAGACCCAGCGCTTGGGCGGTGGTCATTTGGGCCACGTCGGCCACGACGTTGTTGAGAGTGTTGAGGAGCCCGTAGGAAAAGCCCCAGAGGAAGAAGAGGATGCTGACGATGGTGCAGTACTTGAACGACTCGGATACCGAAGACTTGACCATGCTCTTTGGCTTCTTCATCTCCACGAAACCAAAGTAGATGGAGTTCTCTTGGGCCGAAGGGACACTGGAGACTCTCCGTCGATCTGGTAGTGTAGGGGCCCTGCTTTCGGGCGCAACAGGGGTTTCGTTGACGCATGAAGCTGACAGGAAGTCTCGGATGGAGATCTCTTCGGACAGTCGGTCATTGTGCACATGGACCGGCTCTGGTGCTTGTGGGGCGCTGCTTGCGTGGGAGTCGTTCAGCGTTGAAGAGGTGATGGGTTGGCTGCTGTCGGAGTTGTCCTGCTTGATGACGGCGTCCAATTGGGCGCTGTCCCGGGTGCTGCTGCGAGTGCCATCCGGGTCGATAATCATGGCAGGAAGAATTCGGATGATTAAGGGTTTCAGAGTCGGAATGCAGCCGCAGATGATGCCGACGTTGACCTCGACAGCCGACCACATCAAAGATAGCGAAGCGTTCCAGGGGAAATTCGAACTTTGACCGTAGATTGCGCTGGGGTTGTCTGAAGGATTCATGGGTACCATACCCACGGCCTGTTGGAGATAGTAAATCCTGACGACGTCGACGACCGTCACAAAGATACCGAGAGCAAAGGTAAAGATAAGAATCGTCTTTTGTCTCGGCGGTAGACGCATGCCGGTGAGCACGGGAATAGGAAGGGCCAGGATAGCTAGATCGGTAACTATGTTCACGGGGGCCGAGCAGATAAACTCGGTCAATAACGGCAAACACTTGGCCGCCTCAATCGTAACGTCCCAAGCAGCGCGCATGGGGGTGCACTGAAAGATGTTCATGAAAGTAAGGATGGTTCCAGCAACGTTCACAACCACGAGGACAGCCCAGGAGGCCATCCGAAGAATCTTTTGCGTGTTCTTAGCCAGGCGAAGGTAGAAGACGAGAATGGACGTCTTTGTGGCCATAAGGGCCGGATTCTGTTTACCAATGTTAGTGGATTCTGTGGATCACAGCTGATAGACAAAGAACACATACATATAGGATGGAAAAGACATATTCACACATCCTCAATCCTGCCTGGTGCTGATGATCGATATTCACGTCATGACGACCAAGACCACGTTTCGTGGCCATGGCAATGGTGAGGGACAGGAACATGGAAATGAGCCAGGCCAGGACGATGATGTAGTCATCCCATCCGACTCTGCGTACGATTCCGATGCGCGATACCATTCGAGCCGCGACAAAGAGGGTAGCCAAGCATATCGTCACGGTGGTGACGACGAAGACGGCGGGCCCTCTGTCGGGAACGTTTCGTGTTTGGTGGTGAGGATGATGGGCCTCCATTTTGATGTTGCCGCCTGGTAAGGCGATGCCAGTCAAGGAGGCCGGCAACAATGAATCAAGTCTTTGGCTCGATCACGTCCACAGCGTCGCCATAATCCTTCAAGCCGCGACATATGGGAGATGTTGGAAAAGATGGAATCGGGGTGCCAGGAAAATTTGGAGGACCCTAAGTCATCACGGGCGGAGGGGCGAGGTCCTTCTAGGGCATTGCCCAAACTCGACACAACAATGTTCGGGGTGAGTGTGAAACGAAGGATCGTGTGTTGGTCGGCCGTTCTGGTAAGGCTGTGGCAGTACGGCTCACGATATAATATCGACTGACAGGGTCGGTGGGCGTTGAAACGGGGATCGAGACTGGTCGTTGGCGAGCGAGTCAAGAAAGTTGTTGTTCCTGGTTTGTCGAACAGTTCCAGAAAGTCTTGGCTGTTCACGACTCGAGACAAGAAAAATCCTTCCGAAGCGTGGTGAGGCGTTGGAAGTTTCAAACTTGTGGTGGTTGATGCTTTCTTTGAGATGAGATGTCGGTGTAAGAGGAGAGAAAGGTGAGTTGAACAGGAGGGTCAGGAACCCTGAGGCTGGATGGACCGGACCAGAAAATATGGTGGAGAGGGATCTGCCTCGTACGGATTCGACAGTGGAGAGCCCGTTAAACCAGCCTGGTCCTTATGCTGGTCACTTTTTGGTGCCCTGCTTGCAGCTTCTGCAGCCTTTTTCTCCTCGATTGCACCACTCGCTGCCTTTCCACTTTGCCGGCCTATCCTCACACTCGCTTCGTCTTTGGCCGAGGAGGTTGTTGATAGTTGCCCGGTTTTTTTTTGGCGCAGGGTACACTAGCAGTACACTACGACTAGTAGTAGGGATGAGCCGCTAGCTAGCTAGTACTGGGGACCGGACGAGATATCACAATCAAACGGCTTGTTGGACTCTCTCGATGTGTCATCCATCTCGTACTCTTTTTTTTCTTCACTTCAAGGTAGTATCGCAACTCCCGGGGAGTGGAGGCGTGAATTTTCTTTCGGCTGATGGTGGTGCACTGCTGCGTATAAGCCGCAAATTCTGATCAGGACTGAGGGGTATACATAAAGGCGGTAAGGCCTGGAGAGAAACCGGAGGTCAGGCCGGTCAATGGGAGTCAAGAAAATGGCGTGTCTCTTTGGGTTGCTGAGTGTCTGCACAGCGCATCTTGTATGCCACCCTCTTTTCACTTGGCTGTTTGGGGGTGCCAGCGCAGAGCTATCGGCAGCCTTGGTTCAGCAACTGGAGCTTCGGTTCGGAGCTTCTTCCACTCTGGGCGGGATGGGCTTCGGTTGCTTGTCCAGTTGACGGGCAGGCCGAGCTGGGCGGGATGGATGTCTAGAGAGAAACCGACATCTTCAACACTCAGCCAACACCGGCGGCGGCAGAAAAGTTCAAAGGCTTCAGGGCGATGCAATGACATCGTTGGACGGGAATGGACGAATCAAGGCAGTCAATGATACGCTGCCCCCGGCTTTTTGGATCCATTGTTTGCTTGGCGGCGATGTTCCCGCGGGCTGTGAATGGGTGTCGATGTTTGGGATGGTCAGTGGACGGGTGAGGTTTCGCGAGACAAAGAGGGAAAAAGCGGCGAAGGGTTCAAACAGTGGTCATCAGTGGTCGCTCACTCACCAACTCCCAGGGGCTGTGGAGAGCGACCATCTTGCTTGGCTGTGAGGGGATTCTTGGGGTTGAAGATTGTACAGATTAGACGGAACCTACCGCCACTTAAAAGGTATTTACATCGGTTTATTTTGTACAGCCTTCGGGGGCATTGAACTGAACTCCACTGAAGCATTCCGTCTTTTTAACTCCTCAAAATACGGGGGGCCGGCAGTCACTGACAACCATCCCCAGAGTCCGAATTCGTTGATAAAAACGGCCATGCTTCTCACCATGCCCGTCAGACCGTCACTGTGAGACATTCCCGTTGCTCATTCTTAACCGTCTCTAGTAATCGGATATGTAGATCACGAGTCCAAATTGAATGGTGTACAATGTGCGGAACCACTCCGCCCGGTTCTGCAAAAGGGGTGACGGACATGAAGAATCTCAACGAATCTTGAATTGTACGGCGATGTTGGTTTCCGAGCACGCCGTTGAGATGATGGGTGCGGGTTGCAACTTTGCATCAACTCTTTGCCGCAAACCAATTCAAAAGGTTCGAAACAAGAATGGAATATGAAATGCGAAACATATCATTGAGCCACCTACGTACGTGTATTTACTGTCTTTGTTCTCAACCGGTAAACGACATGACAGCATGGCAACGTGGGTAGTGGTTGAAGAAAAATGATGATATGCCGCCGAGAAAGTCGCCAAAATCGCAAGTCGCAATAAAACCGTTGATCCCGCCTGCCCGTCCTGCTTTCATCGCTTGCCCGCATCATTTGCCCGTGGGGGTTCTTGGATTCTTGGTCCTGTCTTTGCCATCACAAATCGTGACGTTTTTTTACCATCTTTCATTGCAAAGGTCAGCAAGAGTCAGAAAGCCAACCCCTTCAACAAAACCTTCACGGTCTTGTGACGGCTCACGACTCCGGCTCTTTGATATCCCCACTCATTCTCACCGAATCTACCACTACAAGTACTGGACGCTAACATCGGCGGCAACAGCACCCCATTCCATCGGAACAAAGATAAATAAAATCGTAAAACCCACAAAAACAATTTCCGCGATCAGAGTTTCATTCGGCTGCTACCTGCTTTTACTGCTGCAGAAATGCATGAATGAACCCAATCATGCCACTCTGCCAAAGCTGCCTTGCACATTTGCCTTGCAGCAGCAGCAGCTGGCGTCTCGTCTCGTCTCGTCTCGTCCTCGGTCCGCAGGCTAGCAGCTAGCGAGCGGCATCCCGGCCGCCCCCGCCCCCCCGCCTCCGATTCAACACTATTGAGAAACGCCAAGACTCCGGGAATCGAGTCCAGGCCGGGATCGACGAGTTGTCGTGCTTGCCTGCTTTAACTACCAAGTCGAAAAGAGTCAATTTCCGAAACATTGCATTCTTCAGACGGTTTCTTCCTGACACTTTTTTTTGTTTGTGCTGATGCTGCTGACTGGGTGACTGGAAAAGAGCTACATTGCATGATAAGAAAGCCATCCATCTATCGGGCGCCTCCGGCGGTGGACAGCCGCCGATCAAATCTGACCATCGGAATCCGGAAACGAAACCCGATATCGACACCGAGCAGCGTGATCAAAGTGGGGCCGGAACGGTGCCTCAAGAACACTTGCTTTCGGCTCCGTGTGCCTTTTCGTTTGTGGAAACACTTCGGACGGCACGTACGTAGATCAACTTACACACCAATTCAGATGAAGAATGCAAACTGCATCTAAAATAGTAAGCCCATGAACTTCACGTTCATTCATCAGCATGATCCCGTAAACCGAAGTGATATGCCCTCCCAATGCTCATGAGCAGTCTTCCTGCCGACTGAAAGAGTGTTTATAGATATCCAAGGAACCATCACCACCCCCTAATTAGCAAATATCCTAACCTTACCCTCCGTCCCATCCACACTCCCCGTAGCAACCACACACCTAATCTGCACACTCGCATTCACACTTCCCACCGTAGCCGCCCTCCTCCTCGCCGCCACTACCGTATCCGCCAGCGGACCAGTACCGCCGCTTTTTGTATTCGCCGCCATGGCATCCGCATCCTTCACCACCGGCGGCGCCCATCTAATGCAGCTCACAAACCCTTCATATACCCCCGTCAGCGTCTGCACGCACTTCCCCTCCTGGCTGAGATCCCAACACCTCATCGTCCGATCATCCGCCACTGAAAGCAGATACTTCCCGCCCGGATGGAACACCAGCCCTCTGACCCAATTATCATGTCCCACCAACACCTTGACACAGTTTCCTCTCCCGTCCCACAGCCGAATCTGCTTATCCCTCGACCCCGTAGCCATAAACTCGGCGCTCGCGCCCAGCGGTGGCGGCCTGTCCAGCCCAGCCAGCTTCGCCAGGTAGGCGTACGCCGTCGGCGGCGCGAATGCGCAGCAGAGGTTATAGTTCTCGTGACCAAACATGACCAGCCTGCACTCCGCATCCCGTCCACCCGCGAGGTCCCATAGCCTTACAGATTTATCGCTGCCTGTCGAAAGTAAATACCGGCCGTCATGGCTCGGACACACTGCCCTCGGCCAGTCCACGTGTCCTAAGATGGTCTTGACGCAATACCCCGTCGTGACATCCCATATTTTCAACGAGTTGTCCTTGCTGGCACTAACAAGCAGGTTTCCACTGGCGGGAGCGCCGGCTGCTCCGCTGGGTATGAACCGCACGGAACTAACGATGTGGTCGTGTCCCGGCAAGGTGCGGATATTTTTGTACTCGTCTGAGGGATCCCATAGCTTGATTGTTAGATCCGAGCTGCAGCTCGCTAAGAGAGTGCCGCCGCGTGGCCCGCCAAAGTCGACGTCTAATACCGCTTTGGTGTGTCCCTTGATGGTCCGCTCTAGCTCGCCCAGCTCCCAGTCCCAGATCTTGATGGTGTAGTCTTCGGAGCCGGAGGCGAGGGAGGTGAAGACGGGGTGGAAGGCGACGCAGGTTACGGGGAGGCGGTGAGATTCGAGGACGTAGCGCGGGGGCGCTTTGGGGAGCCAGTTTGTGGGATCTTGGGTGCGGCGTGAGAGGGAGGAGGGGGTGGCGTTGTCAATTTCGGATTGGAGGAGAGTGTTGCGGGATTCGAGGTCAAGGATCTGTTATAACAGTGTAAGCTGGAGGGAAGGTGGTGTAGGTTGAGGAAGATGGGTGATGGGACGACAGACCTTCTTCTGCAACCTCACAACACTCGTCCACTTCTTTTCTAGGAGCCCTTCATATTTCTTTGCCTTTTCCGTGTCAAACGTCACTTCAGCAAGGTCGGGAAGTTCATCTCGCAAAGTAGCCGCGGTACTTGCGAGGTTCTTGGAGGAGAGGTATGCTAGGATGGATTTGTGTCTGTATTCCCAAAAGGGTGCATCATCAGCAATGCGGTCGCGTGACAGAAAGAGTAACAGCACAAATCACTTACAGCTCCTCAGCCTGCCGGGTGGTCAACAACGGAGTGCCGATCTGAGCTTGAGCCATCCTGGAAATTTCATCCAGTGCCGAACGGCAGCAAGACTATGTATGTTTTCAATCCCATGTAGGCATTGGCACAATGCGCCGCGTCCGAGTCGAGTCAGGGTCCGCTAGCATCGTGAAAGCGGACAGGGCGTGGCATTTGGTCTGAGTGGACTGGTACGATTTGATGCAGAATGGCGGAGCACGTTTGGCAGGGAGAAGCAGTAGAATTGGCCCGTTGCCGCTGGTGGTGGCCCGCTATCCGGACGCTATCCCGCTCGAGGCCCCCGCCGTTCAGGTTCCCTTCTACTTTGTTATCGGCCGACCGGCAGTGGGAAATCTGGGGTCCAGCTCCCTCAAAAACGGCTACCTTACCTAGGTATGCGACCCCCTGTTGCTGATCCTCGGTAGGTGCCTGCCGGGGTCCCCCGAGTTGGTGTTAGGGTTGGAGCTCAGGAAGCTCTAGGGTTGAAGCGCTGCAGCTATCCTGCGCCAAGTGGACCGGGAGCTTGGTGATGGTGAGAACAACGACAACGGCGGGACAACGGGGACAAGACACTTCAACAATTCCAGCCATTGAGAAGTATTCTTGGGTCAGGAAGCTTCTGACATCTCAAATCAAGTCCTCGGAATTTTAGTGCTTGTCCAAGCGTGCCTTTCCGGTTATTCCCACCCCAGTGGGATACGTCTCAAAAAGTCGACCTCGACGCCGTTCGTGAGGTCGTGTAAGTGAGGTGGCTTTGGTCCAGACCTCATCTACTCCTAAGCCAGTAATGAGTTACTTGAAGGAAACTCAAAAGATGTTACTCCAACGCCTCACCGTGCTCTCAGGCATCAGGTCATCCCTATCCTCTCTGTCCTCTCTTTCCTTCAAGGCATCATCAGCATCAGCATTCACTCGATGCTCCCCATACAGCACACAACCCGAAGCCACACCCAAGAAAGTCTCAGACCCATTACGCATTCTCTTCTGCGGCTCTGACGTCTTCAGTTGCTACTCACTCAAAGCTCTCCATGCCGAACACAAAGCCAACCCAGGACTAATCAAGTCCATTGATGTTATGGTTCGGACGGGGAAAGCTGTGGGTAGAGGGTACAAGGAGATTCGCCAAGGTACAATGCCCAACACTAGATCAAAGCTCTTACAAGTTAGGCTAACTAATAGCCTGTTTAGTGCCCATACAAAATCTAGCAGAAGAACTTTCCCTGCCCATTCACATCCGCGATACCTTCACTGGCTGGTCTCTACCTCAAACTGCCGGGTCAGACGGAGAACCAATCAACCTGATCGTGGCAGTCTCCTTTGGTCTGTTTGTTCCTCCAAGGATTCTCGGTCAGGCTAAATACGGGGGTTTGAATGTTCATCCTTCTTTGCTACCTGAGTAAGTCCTTCCCTCTCCCCACCCCCCTTTCCAAGTAAACAAACAAGCAAGCACATCTTAGTTCCAAGCGCTAACGCAAGAGGTCAAACCAGCCTCCGCGGCCCAGCTCCCCTCCACCACGCCCTCCTCAACCGTCTCTCCCACACCGGCGTCTCCGTGCAAACCCTCTCCCCGCAAACCTTCGACGCCGGGACAGTAATCGCGCAAACCCCTTTTCCCGGTATCCCCATCCCCCAGAATTGCACAGTCCAACAACTCCACGACTTACTCGCCCCTCTAGGGGCAGAAATGTTGGTCTCTGCGCTTAAGGAGGATAGACATGTCCCGCCTTTGGTTCCCGTTGTGGACAATCGCATTCCTGATGGAACAGAGAAGGAAGGGAGGGAATATGCTCACGCGCCCAAGATCACAAAATCCGACCAGCGCGTTTCGTTTCTGCGGCATTCAGCTAGTGAAGCCGCATTGAGAGCGAGGGTTTGCGGTGGGAATTTGTGGACGACTGTACACTCCCAGTTGCTCAGCCGAAGCAAACGAAGGGGTCTTCCAAGGCGCAGGAACCGGCAAAGATTGAGCTTGAACTTCCGCTCACCTACCCCCACCCCCTAGAGGAATCAATAAAGGGATCTCCAAAGCGGATCATCCTTGAAGACGTATCCGAGATATTGCCTTCTGAGACTGCCGAAGATGCTGGCCTGGCGGCTCAATACGCAGGCTATCAGCGCCTTCTTCAGTATCTTAATTCCAACTCCGACACCTCTTCTGGCACCCCTTCTTCCGGCTCGACAGGCGTGACAGGCTCGACACTACAACAAGTCCTCAACATCACGTCCCTCCCTTCAACTTCATCAAACCGTCCTAACGACGCATCAGACCCACTCTTCTGGCTTTTGAGGTTCGGTGAGAACAATGAGTACGTCAACATCGACGTCGAGACAACCGTCGGAGGTGCCAACGCTGCCAACGCTGTCAACGGTGAGAAGGCCACGACGGCGGAAAGAAAACCGAGAGTAAGCTGGGGTTTATGCACCAGGTTAGGACTAGGTGATAACGGGAAGGGGAAAGAGGAAGATAAGGGCGCTGTGACTTTTATGATGAAAGGGGAAGATTACGGGAGGTTTGGGTTATTGAGGGTAGGGAAAATCAAGGTAGAGGGGAAAGGGTCGAAGCCCGCTAGGCAGGTGGTGAGGGAGTTGGCTGTTAAAGCGTTTTAGGGGGTGTTTTTTTTTTTTTTTTT